ATTTCATGGCTGCTTTTTCTATTTCTATGAGGAATGTCATTGGGATTTTGATTGGAATTGCATTAAATTTGTACAGTGCTTTTGGTAGTATGGTTATATTGCCTATCCAAGAATAAGGGATTTCTTTCCATCTTCTAAGGTCTTCTTTAATTTCTGCCTTTAGCATTCTGTAGTTTTCATGTTTGTTGATTCCCAAGTTTTTTTTTTTTTGAGGCTATTATAAATGGGGTAGTTTTCCTTTCAGAGGAATTATCATTGATATTTAGCATTGTATTCTAATATAAAGGAATTTACAACTAGCTCATACATTTTGTGTGTTTGTGTGTGTGTTTAGATACACACATGAAGGCAAAAATTTACCTAAATTATCTACTGCTATATACACAATTCCTGGAAGTGTACTTGGAACATAACAGACATTCAAGGATTCTTTATTGAATAGTTTTGAATGTTTAGGGTGACATTGTATCTTACTTTTCTTTTTTCTAAATCCCAGGATGACAATGTTATTTATATAATCAATAATTTCAAAACCACATTTTTTGCAGGCCATCTCCATGGATAACTCTTTATAATAATTTCTATTTTTTTTTTGGCAGATTGGCCATGCAGAAGCTGGGAACACAAGTATTTGAGGAGGTCTACAATTACCTCAAGAGAGCAAGGCATCAGAATGCCAGTGAAACAGAGATCCGGGAGTGTCTCGAAAAAGTGGTCCCTCGGGCCAGCGACTGCTTTGAAGTTGACCAGCTTCTCTATTTTGAGGAACAGTTACTGACCACAATGAGGAAAGAACCCACTCTCCAGGATCCTCACTAAGGAACCATGACAAACAAGCAGAAGTTCAAGTAGACAAGTTTCTGTGAAAATCCATGAACTRTATAAGCTGGACTTCATTATGGGAAATGAGCACATAACTGGAGCTCCCATCTTTAACTTCCATTCTCTAATGACTCGTTTAGGAGGAGTGAGCATGGCTGCCTGTTCTTGGAGTCATGGGCCATATGAGTTGTTTGATTTCTGTCCTGAGATAAGCTTGCAGATCGGTCTCGGCATCCTGTAAAGGATTTCCCTCATGCTGCCTCAAGGCTCCCAACAGGGTTGGATTGTCCCAGTGATGGCTGAGGAGAAGCCAGCTGCTCTTTGCCATCCCTAGTTGGAGGACAGAGCTTAGGCCTGGCTGCCTTTAGTCTCAATGAACTGTGACCAGCTTGCTTGGGAGAGCTGTTGGAACTGGCCTCTCTGACAAGCTGGGCTGCCAAGGAGTCAGACTGGCCTTTCTCTCCCCAATTATTATTTTTTATTATTTACTGTTGCTTGATTTTATATATATATCTCACCTTCCTTTTCACCTTTTTTTCTCCTGATACTGGTGATTCTAGCCTTCTTGCTATTTCCCCAACATGTTTTAGCTTTGRGGCCCAAATTCCCTTACCCCTGTATTTCCCTTTTTTCACGAGGTCTCTTCTCGGATGACAGCTCCTCAGAAAGTTTTCTTTGCTCTCCCACCTTGTTTTCTCTTCATTTTGCTGAGCACCTGTTTTTGGTCCATGTTTCCCTTACATGACCAGCAAGCAAGATGTACAAGAATACAAAAACCTGGATTAAAATACAAAAAGCAATTCCCTTCTGGGATTTATTCCCCAGACTCGCCTGTGGAGAACTGAAGATTTCTATTCATAATAAATATATATTCCATTGTTACAAAATCACCTATTTTATCTTTTCCTTATGTAAAAGTATCTTGTTAAATGTGACGCTACTTTCAAATAATAGTTATTACTTAGTAGAAAGGAGAAAAGAAAACACATGTKGGCTTTTTTTGGTGGGTGGTGGRAACTGGGGATTGAACTCAGGGGCACTCGACCACTGGACCACATGCCCAGTCCTATTTTGTATTTTATTTAGAGACAGGGTCTCACTGAGTTGCTGAACACTTCACCACTGATGAGGCTGGCTTTGAACTCAAAATCCTCCTGCCTCTGCCTTCTGAGCTGCTGGGATTATTGGTGCAAGCCACCAAAGGTGTTAATAGGAAAGAGACCTCACCCCAAGAAGAGCACTCGGGAGCCTYTTTGGCATTTTATGACCAAATGGATTGCAGATAGGTCTCGAACAAGGGAGACAACAGTAGAATTTAAGTTAATAAAAAGTTTCTGAGTTTTTCTGCTGATGGTTTTTACAACATTAGAGCAGAAGAAGGCTTGTACAAGTTGCTGGGTCTGACAAGGAAATTATCAGAAATTTCAGTCTCTACCATCTTCCACAAACAGATTAACATGCTCAGATAATAATGCTCTGCATTTTAAAATCTGTTTMTAAGGAGATAGGAACAAACAAAATATCTTACCCTTCAGAGATTTGTGTTGTATACCACAACACATCAGGCTTATAAGAAAAGAGAGCTGCGGAAATATCATTCAGGATAATCATTTCTCATAAGAGAAGCTTACTTAAGTTTATCCTTCCTTTGGTTTACTGAAATGGGAGTTGAGAGCAAAACTTAACATGACTTGAAGAAAATATCTCCTTATCATTACTACTGGGAAAATTCTTTCTCTTTTAGCTATACCCAATCTTAATTTGGGGCCACTTCAATATGGGAATTAATAACTAAATCAAAGAAATAGGAAGTTGCTTAGTATGAAACAGATAAAGGTATCAGGGGATAGCCTTGCTGCTTTATTAAAGAAAATGTACACACACACACACACACACACACACACACTTTTCACAAACTCCAATTGACCTTTCTGCTTTCTATTTATGCAGAGGAAATGCCACTAGCTATTTTGGGTGACGCAGAGATAAAGGGGAGTGATAGAAGTTAATTATTTAATGTCTTCGGGGCTGAGGCTGGAGCAAAAGCTCTAGGTGTATTATAAARGAGTCCAGCCATCACTGTGGGCTCAGGATAAAGGAAGCAGACAAATTGAGCAGTAGCTCAAGGGGGAGGGTGGCAGGGGACACAAAACAGTCTTTTAAGGTCATGGGAAGACTAATGGGTTAGAAGGTAATGGGGCCAGGCCACAAAGATGGTAAAGGAGCTGTAGTGAGACAATAAGGAGGAGAGAGGGGTGTATGTGTAAAAGAGAGAATGGGGGACAGGGCTGGGGTGGACACAGAGTAAAGAATGTTCTCAAATAATTCTGCCACAACCTGTGTGATGGGGGGAAATTGAATTCTTTTGAAGACTTGGATTCTAGACTTACTCTTGCCATTACTGTGTGATCTAGAGCAAGTCACTTCCTCTCCACCTGTTTCCTGCCTATGTCTAAACATTGCTGTAGAGAATCAAAATAGTGTAATGGGTTAAATCAAGTGAAATTGTCATTGTGGTTCAGCCTATTATGTAGAAGTGCTTCAAATGCTATAAAAAGTCCTCATCTTTGGAGGAGGATCTTTCACTTTATTTTTAGGCTGCCTGATCTTCCATCATTMGTGTTTTGCCCCTGAATGCTTCCTTAGGCTTCTAACATCCTGCTATTATCATACAAATGCACCCCCCCACACGAGAAATAATAATAATCACTTTGACATTTTCAGCTGGCACTTGACCAGCTGGGAACCAACAAAGGAGTGAGAAAATCTCACAGAGAGCAGCTCAGAAAAGGCACACACACATTGTACCAGTCCAGAGGTTGAGGACATGTCTTCAGACRTAGGCCTGTCACCCTATGGATTGAGCTACGCTCACCTGTTCCTTTGTGATAGTACCCCTTGCCCTGTTTGGGATAGAATGTTCCATGGAAACACTTTGTGTGTCCCTTTCTCTTGCTCTGCCTTTGGGAGTGGCCTTCCTAGATGTCAGTCAATGGGCTGACAGCAGACATCAGGAAGCTAGACTCAGCCCCCTGAAATMTGACCCCTTGCCTCATTTGAATGGCTTCTCCTCAATAAAAAGGTTCAGCACGTGCTCTCTTGCTCTCTTTCTGCAGACCCTTAAGGTCAGAGGAGCCACCACAGGACCCCAAAGAAAAAGGTCTCTCTGTCTCTTGTGTGGTTCTGTCATGCAGCCTGGTTCCCCTGGCATGACCCTGAGTGTTTTAGTCGTGAGGAACGGGACATCTCCCCACCCTGCCTATGGAACTTCAAAGTAATCATCACCAGACCCCAGGATTCCCAGTTCTTTTCTAATTTTATCAGGAAGTTTATAAATTTGGTTCAACAAATATACATTATAAAATAAGGTCTTCACAAATATTCCCTACAAGTACCATAATCAGGGTTTGAATGTCCCCACCCAGACTCAGGTTGAAATTGAATCCCCATGGTGAGGTAGTGAGAGGTGGCCCCAGGAGTGACCTTTAAGAGGTAATGACATCAGGAGGTCTCRACCCTCACAGAGGATCCATTAATGAAGTCATGGGTTAATGGGCTATATGGTTTTTCTCCAGAGTGGGTGTGTTATAAAAATCAGTTTGGCTTTGTCTCTTTTAGGCAGCCTTCTCACTATGTGATGCCCTAGGCCACCTCAGGTCTCTGCAGAGTCCCTCACCAGGTGTGSCTCCTTGATCTTGGACCTCCCAGCCTCTAGAACCATGATCTGAATAGAACTTTATTTTTTTTRTAAAATTACCCAGTCTGTGGTGTTCACTTACAGCATCAGAAAACAGACTGAGACATCCAGAATTGAAAACCTGACTCCAACAGGAATATTGTCAAAGTAAATTTGTAGGTCTACTACAGGAGGCAGTCTTTCTATAGCTAGAAACATGTTTGTCTTTCCAAAATACTGTGAATTTTCCTGCCTCAGGAGCTTGAATTTTCCAGCTCAATTCTTCTCTCCCTATACCCTTGACTGTTGTCACTTTTGTAGTTTTCARTATTTTCCCTACTACTTCACTCTTGAGTTTGGTTGTGGAACTTGTCTTGGCTGAGTGATGTACTCAGGGCTGGAAATATGTTGGTGCAGTTGGCTCTGTTCACTTGCACATCTGTCATCACCATTTAGCCCCCAGATTAGAGGACGATGATAAGAGACTTGAGGCAGAGAGCTCTGGATGTAACCCACAGAATGATTCAACGTCACCCCAGCCAATATGGAATAGAGCAAAAGTCATTTTGGGCAATCTGCAAACTTCTGAGCAAGAAACCARTGTTTATTATTGTATGCTGATCAGGTTTTATGACTGTTATGCAGCAATATTATGGCAACAAGCTAACCAATGTCTTCCCTTTTCCCAACATCATTTTCTCGAACACCAAATCCTCAAGTTTTGTGCTTTTTGGCATTAATTTTTGTTGATCTGGGGAAAGTTTTATGACCAGTTTTATGACTATGACTTCTTAGAAATAGGGATATCCCTTTTCAAAACAGCCCAGGTGAACCATGYATGCTCTCTTTTCTGGCTTTCAGTGTGTTTCAAGGCAACACTCAATAGGAGCATGGAGCCTACCTGGACCATCTTTTCTGAAGCTATGGTCTAATTCTTCTTTAGATTTCAGCTTAACATGTACTGAGTTCTCATCTTATATCAGGATCTAAATTTAGGCACACAATTTTGATAAGAATTTACCAAGCAAATAATAGGAAAAGATCTTATGAGCATAAGGAACACAAGAATGAAGAACATAGCCATGTGGGATTCTAGGAACTTGGAATCATTGGGTGCTTGTGGCACATAAAGTGTGATTAAGATTTAGAGAGGAAGAGGTGGTAGCCAGCCTCCAAGATGGCCCCCGTGATCCTCATTTCTGATATTCATGCCCCACATAGATCCCTATCACACTGCATCAGGTAACCCGTGTGACCAATAGAACACTGTACAAATGGTGGAGTATGACTTCTGAGACTAAGTCATAAAAGGCAGATTCCAACTTGTTTTCTCTAGGATCACTCGCTCTGGAGGAAGCCAGCCACCATGTTGGCAGGACATTCAAGCAACCTTATGGAGAGAACCACGTGGTGTGAAACTGAGGCCTTTTGCCAATATCTGGYACCAACTTACCAGCAATGTCAAGGAGCTATAGGAAGAAAATCTCCAGCCCTAGTCAAGCTTCTATTGACTGAGTCCCTCACTGACATCTGGATTAAAACCTCATGAGAATCCTGAGGCAGAACCATTCAGATAAACCATTCCTTAATTCTTATCCACAGACATTGAAATAATGCTGTGTCATCACTACAAAGTTTTTGCAATAGATCACCTCACAGAAGGCAAAGCTCTACTGTGAGCTGTTGAGTCTGCTGTGCTATGCCCTGTAGTCAGGGACAGACAGGAGATATTGATGTATTGAGTTATTGACTTCTGGCTGAATCATGGCACCCTGTGGAGGATGGGTTTGAGGAAGGTGAGAATGGAGAAAGGTAGGTGGTAAGAGGTGTAGTCCAAGTGAGAAAAGATGAAGACCTGATGAAGTCAAGGAATTCTGAGATGAGAGGGAAATGAGACAACCCAGAACTGACTAGATGGGGAGAGGAGGCAGAGGAGTTATCGTGGAGGATCCTAGGTTTCTAGTAAGGGGATGGGTGGAGGATACAGAGCTCGCTAGATGAGGACTAGAGGATGGCAGGAATGCGGAGTTTGTTCCTGGGTGTATCAGGTTGGAGGTGCTTCTGGGATATTTGAGTGAAAAGGTCCAGWCCTGACACTGGAAGTGTCTTTAAAATTAGCTCTTATGATGAAGTGAATCTACTGAATGATGCC